GAATGAAAGAAAATGAATATGAGTGTACCGTTTTGTATTGATTGAATAAAACTTCCTATATGAAGTTATCTAGATATAAATATTTTCGAATTAATTTCATAAATTATTGAGATTTTTTCATAAAATATCTATAGAACATTTTTACTAATATTGAACTGAAAATATTTTAAGTTTTATTTACCGTTATAACTTTGATAACCATTTCAATGCAAAATATTTGTGAACAGAGTGTGTATATTATTTTGTAAAGTCATTGTTTATTTCTCGATTTGAGGAGAATTCGTTTGAACTTTACCTTGCAGCAATTTAGCCTCAGGCGTACACAGGTGTGAATTCAAGCGTACACAGGTATGAATATTGTCATTTTGAATGGATTAACAGAAAGAGTATAGCGTGTTTAATATACCCAGATGAAATACCCGATGACAATAGAGAAACAATAATTAAATTGTATAAATTAATTGAAAATTAACATTCAACTTTTTAATTCCGGAAGTGTTACAATATTAAAATGGAACAATTTTCGGTTACGTTCTGTGCAATTAGCATAAAGTTAAGATATGAAGTTAAAAGAATAGTACTTTTAATCTTAAAAATTAAATGTTACATTTCCCAATTAATAATCATTGCACATCTGTTTAATTTACTTTACCGGAATTCTTTAACTTGTATTTAAATCTGGGGATGTTTAAATGTGTAAAACTATCGCAATTTTAAAGTTTTTAATTGCAAAAATACAACTGTACAACATGCATGATTTATAATTTTCTTATTAACATTTCATTCTTACATTATTAAATTCATTTGACAATCACTTAGACAAATTATTTGTGAAAAGAATACCAATTATCGTTTATTTCGAATTCATTAATGAATATACATACATTATAAATCTAAGCTAATACATTAATTTGTTTGAGGATTTTTTTTAGGATAGCCGTCATTAATCCAAATTAGTAATACAGTTGTCGTAATTAAAAGCATATCTTAGTAATTTGTTTGAGGATTTTTTTTAGGATAGCCGTCATTAATCCAAATTAGTAATACAGTTGTTGTAATTAAAGGCATATCTTAGTAATGTATTACTGATATTGACGATTTTAGAACAGTTCGTCCCAACCTCGTTGTTCTTGAAACAATTTTTACTAGTATACTTGTAAGTTTCCTGACGTATAAGCGCCATTGAGGATGAGCTCCAGAGATAGCAGACTAGTAGCGTATTTATTTGTTGGGGCAGGAGAGGCCATGCAACCACTTGTACAGATAAACAAGCTTATGTTGTCAACACTTTCAGAAAGAGTTCCCATCGTCGGATGGGGTATATGAAGGTTCCAAGAATGAACTATTGACATATCTGACTCTGAACAGTTAGTAAACGGACTTAACAATGATCTATAGACATCGACCGCTTGTTCTTTGATATTTGAAACGGCATGCATATATACGTTTATGAGAGTGATTATTTATCTTGTGTCTGACGAAAACTAAATGCCTGCATGGTTATATCTTGCCATACGTTTGTATTGGTTTGGTGGGTGTTCACTCAAAATCGTAATTCAAAATTGTGTTTGTGAGATGTAAATTCACTTCAATACCAAATTTCGTCTGTATATTTCACAAGTGTATACCACGGAGAAGATCTGAAGGTATATTACTCCCATTTTGTTTGGGTGTGAACCATCGATGTTTACAGCAATATTTAATGAATAAGATGATGATGGTAGAAAGAACTATGAGCGTCATGTGGCAGATATTACATGCATGTCGGACCATGAGTTGTCAATCTGTATGAAAAGATTTCCAATACAACCATATTGAGTAGGAATTTTTTACATGCTATACTCTCGATCTAGTATTACAGGGTTCTTGTGTCGTTTAACTCAGACACACATCTTTTACTTTAAGATGTATGAAAGGTTCTAAATATATATAAATATCTTAAATCACGGTAACAATAATCAAACGCCTATAGGCAATCACTAAAATGGTATGAAGTTTTTATACAGATTAATTCTTATTTAAACAAACAATTAACAAACTAAATAAATTTAACAAAGTAACACCGTGACACTACGATATAACAAATGGGATACTAATTATTTTAACCATGCTATGCAGAAACTTAACACATCAGGCAGGAACATATATATTAATATACACAATGTGTGATTTTGTATAACTGAAAATATCAAAGCGAGCAATAACTTTGTCAAGCAAACATTTTTTTTCACTATGCCTCTCTTTATCTCCGCTCCTTTACAATAACTATTTCGCTTTTCGTCGATCATTCTCTATATTGTTCTCTATTCGGTTATTTTTTTTTCACTATGCCACTCTATCTCCGCTCCTTTTCCCCCTGTCGTCCTAATCCTTATAAAGATAGGGACATTAGACATAGAATGACTCTCTTATCTTCAATGAATTAATATTGATAGTGACTATAAGTGCTGCATTACTTTATATATCTGCATGTTTGCCAATCGACAAAAGCTTGTATTTGCGTGAAGAATTTTTTTTTTCAAAAATATGGTCCAGAATCATGACAAAACAATATTCATTTCACAAAAATGTTCAAAGGTCATGTTTTTATTTTTTTCAAACTTATTATCAGCAAAAATAGTGGAAAATATTATTATCAGAACATCATTCATTAAAAGGTGGAATTATAATTTCAAACACACACAAGATAAACAACGTTAGCCACAAATATATGGTTCAATAAATGTTATCTGTGCACACCGGGTACCTCAATAAAGAGGCCATGCATGAACCTGTATTATATAATTGTGTAATACGAATTTTTAGTTGACAGGATGTCACTGGAATACCCAGGGACGTTTATCTAATATACGTCCTTGGAATACCTAACTGAATGTGTCGCTCTGACACGACATCTATCAATAATTCTGACATACCTATTATCAATTCGGGATGAAGCCAAAATTTATATATAATAAGATAACGTAAATAAAATTTAAAAAGAAAAAAAACCTATAAATTTTTCACCGAACATACCAGATGGAGTCACACATTTAACTGTAAAGCTAAGTGTCTTTATAAGTGACCGTTCCGAATTGATCCCGTATCAATTTGATATAATTTAAAGATTAGTTAAAAATACCCACTTTTAATAAAAAAAAAATTGAGATGTCCGATATTTCGATATTTACATATCTATAACCTGGGAATATTATACTGTATCAACATATTTATCCCAGCTTAAACCTCTTCCTAACATTGCTCCTTGTCAATAGCCGTTAAATATCATAATTAAAAAAATGTTATTTTATATCGTATAACTTTATTAATTGAAAAATTATCTTGTCTAAATACGGAACTATTCTTTATACAAATCAATGCACTTTATATAAAAGAGGCATACTAAAGAATCTTCTGTAAATCAGTGATTGTTACAAGAACACTGCATTTGTCTTCCTTATAATTGAAACTGTTCTTCCTCATCAAATCTATATTTTTTTTATTCAACGAGATCTTATCATATAAGGATTTGATAACTATAGCTATCAGAACTGCTAGGTTATTTTGTTATTAAAAAAGGATAATTACTATCGAATCTCCCTCGAAACAATATTGTTCAAAATGGTCTTCACACACCAACTTGTGCTTGCTATAGATGCAACTATTTGCTGTTAGTTTAAGGTTGTACAACCATGTCTGATACAATTCTTTCTTTTTTTGTGGGATTGGGAAAACTATGTAGACTTTTGTCATAACCTTGTCTGACAGAACAACCGTACGCTTGACAAGACATTTTGACACTGAATAACCGTCTACGGCAATCCCCAATTGATGATGGGCGTTTTTAACGCACGGTCGGTAAATCCCCGATTCTTTTTGTTCTTTTTGGTTTATAGATATCACGTGACTTTTTAGATCGAACATGCCGACAAGATGGCGATATGTCGAGAACTGATAGTGAATTTCAAAAATCGATTTTGATCTCTTTACATAGAGAATAAAAGTTTTTTATTCATGAACATGTGGTTTTTATGCTTAAAGAACAAAATATCAATTTTTCATTTTTTTGCGGAGTTTCCCTTTAAATTTCAAATTCAAAGTTATAAACTATGTCGTCTTGTACATAACAATCATCCGTATTAATTAAAGCGCACACTTTAGCAAGCGTTTCCGTGAAGGGCAATAGAGTATTTGCCATGGGATAGAGTAAATCGTCTCCCTCGTATTAACCAATCAAAATCTGGCATTTTGACATGAAGTATAATAAGCTACAATATGCAATTTATAATAATGTAATATTATAGTGCTTGTAGTATTTTATTTTTAACCTTTCCCATGATACCAGCTTTTAACACTAACATTTCATATATATATATATATCTCAAATACTTTCACATCACATTTAGGAAAACAAATTGATGGAACATTGCACTATTATGTTCCATGTTTTGATAATATTTTCTCTCCAATTAATTAGCAGAAGGTCATGAAACATCTCCTTCATCCGCGTCGCTAAGATCAATAATAAATTTCACACGAGGAGATAATGTAGTCATGAAAACTTTGTTTACGCATTTATTGCATTTCTAGAATGTACTCAATTGCAATGTTATTGTCTTTACTTATATAAATCTAAACACCATGGCAATTTTTTATTATTCTAATTGTTAACACGATCTTTCAAATTTGAAAATAATCTCATTAAGCTGGAGAGGCAGATAAAATCCAGTGCCAGTCGTCCTGGTTATTCCTTTGAAGTCGTGTTTTGAAATCATTGGTTTTGCTTTTAGTCTGTTTGTTAATACACAAAAGAGGGTCTGGATGGCGTTTACAAAATAGAAAATAATAGCAAACAAAAAAAATGATGGGGTGCAAAAGAATAAAAAATGATTTTTTTGAGAATTTTACAGAATAAGGGTCATCTTAAGGATTAAGAAAAATGCCCCAAAACAATTAAAGAATACAGAAATGAAGGACCCCTCATCCAGACCCTCATAAAACATTTGTTATCTTATACTTACGATGTCTGTTTTTACTAAACTGCACAGTGATGCAAGAGTAAGTCGGTGACTTCGGAATACACACTTCAGTAGGCTTACAGCCATGACCTTTACATGGACCAGCTAGTTCCTAAAATTATCAGAACAAATACAGGTTTAATATATTACATGGGGGTCTGGTTGGTGTGTACAGAAGGGAATAATGGGCAAAAAGTACAGGAAAATGGGCCAAATATATAAAGAATAGAGAAACATAGGCCAAAATCAACAGAATAGAAAATAATGGGCAAAATAAATAAAGAATAGAGAAAAATTGGCTAAAATATTTTTAAAATACAGAAATGAATGACCCCCAATCCAGATCATTAGTGTCTTTTTTGTTGTGGGGATGTATAAGTACCCGTCCACGTCCACTCTGTGTTTTTGTTAGATGTATTTCTATTTGTATCTATCTGATGAGTTAATAGATATAAGAAGATGTGGTATGAGTGCCAATGAGACAACTCTCCATCCAAGTCAAAATTTATAAAAGTAAACCATTTTAGGTCAAAGTACGGTCTTCAAGACGGAGCCTTGGCGCACACCGAACAGCAAGCTATAAAGGGCCCCAAAAATTACTAGTGTAAAACCATTCAAATGGGAAAACAAACGGTCTAATCTATATAAAAAACGAGAAACGAGAAACACTTCTGAACAACATCAACAAACGACAACTACTGAACATCAGATTCCTGACTTAGGACAGGTGCAAACAATTGCAGCGGGTTTAAACGTTTTAATGGTACCAAACCTTCACCCTCACCTGAAACAATAGTGTAACATCACAACACAAGCCTTTTTCAACTGATTTTTATAGTTTGTTCTTATATTATACTTTTATACCACTGTCCCAGGTTAGGGGGAGGGTTGTCGTCTTCAAACGAGTTTAACCCCGCCACATTCTGTATGTGCCTGTCCCAAGTCAGAAGCCGGTAATTCAGTGGTTGTCGTTTGTTGCTGTGTAACATATTTGTTTTTGGTTCATTATTTTGTACATAAATTAGGACGTTAGTTTTCTCGTTTGAATTTGTTTACATTTGTCATTTCGGGGCCTTTTATAGCTGACTATGCGGTATGGGCTTTGCTCATTGTTGAAGACCGTACGACGACCTACAGTTATTAATTTCTTTGTATTATGGTCTCTTGTGGAGAGTTGTCTCACTGGCAATTATACCACATCTTCTTATTTTTTTTATACCTATTACATTGTATTTCTACTTCTTTTTTTTTTTTAAAGACTTTCGATATTGTCAGCGCTGATGATTACAACTGCTAATATTTTTCTGAGTGACGGCAAAAATTATGAAATCTTCGGATTCTTTACATAGAACATAACTTGTTTTTAAATTAAGATATTTGAAAAGGAGAGAGCATTGAGGTCCACATTTAACCTATAATTTAGTAGAAACTTAAAAGTTCGAATATATGATCATATGTTTAGGTATTAAGTAACAGTATTTTAAAAAAATGACATATGCTGAGCACACAACCAATGAATGACTTATCGTGCTTTGTTTCAACTTTTGACTATATTTTGAATAAGAAAAGTATGTGCACACCAAAATATCAATTTGATACTTTTTATGGATTTATGAAAGCTCTGATGAAATGAGTGTATTGTTATTTTGCTACAACAAACGTTTACTCAAAAACAATATTACTTGAAACTGCAGAAAATTAACATGTTTCGTATTTTTAGTGGAAAATGTGCATATTTTTTTTTATCGCTATTACATTGTAAATAGTGTTATTAATATATATATTTCATTTCATGCGTTTTCTAACATCACGAGAAAATGGTTTTAAAAAATTGCACTTGTTGTGCCAAACATTGACCTGTGTGTCCCCTCTTCTTCCTCAAAGAATGAAACTAATATACTTATGAATACTAATATATTATTGGCTTTCAAATTTTTAAGTTTTATCGTTAAATGAAAAATCCTTTGAACGCAGCAAATTTATAAATTGTTATTTTCGTTTTTTATAATCACAGTTACACTGTATGTGCTAATTCAAACTCGTCTTAAAATAGAGGTTAGGTGTATGAAAATGACTTTAGATGATGACGCACAAAAGATTCAACAACAAAAATGTCTGCTTAAAAATTGCTATGAAAGCACATCGAACTGTCTTATCCCTTCTTGTAGGGATATGACGCAAAAACTGGACAAACAGTTTAAATTATTGCAGTTTTAATTCATATTATATTATACATACCTCAGGGAATATTGAGGCCGCAACAAAGCTATTTCCTGTACTTTCAATGAGTTCACCACCGTTACTTTCCCCAGGTTCAGCATCATTTATCTGACAAGTCTTATTCGATGTGATAAAGTTTATAGATTTGCATAATTGTACTCTAGAGCAATACTGGGCACACAATGACCACATCGGCATCGATAGTTCAAACAGCATATGCCCTGTATATATTTTATCATTTTGTTTTCTGATAACGACTATTTCACATAAAGTCCAGGAAAAGGGAAAAACTATTGAGAATATCAAGCGGTACATTTTTGTACTTTAAAAAAAAATACACTAATGTTGTGTTACATTTTCAGCGCTGTTCCTGATAACATTTGTGTGTATTTCAGATCCTTTAATAAAGGCTTAAATATATTTTCGGTTGTCACAGACAATCTTGTTTAAATTGAAATACTTTAATTTGACTCCCTTTCAAACACTTTACCATGTTAACCAATGTTGTCTAAATTGATCTTCCGTGCGCTGAACAGATGTTTTTTTTTTAAAGGGAAACTTCGCAAAAAAAATGAAAAATTGATATTATGTCTATTCTGTATAAAAAAGCTCAAATTCATAAATATTAAAATTTTATTCTGCTAGATAAGAGATCACCATCGATTTTAAATTTAGAGTATCAATTCTCTGCGTGCTGCCATTTTGACATCTTCTCGGTTTAGAAACCACGATATATCTATTGTAATGTAAAATTGTGTTTTATATTGCTATTGTTTCATTTATGAAATATAAGGTATAGATTGTTGGTGCTTTAAATTATAAAAGTAGATTTGACATGACTTTTGGACAAACTATGTTGTAAACTATTCATCTAACTATTCCTGATATTAATATAGATTATTGGTATCAATATGCTGTTATTAAGAATGGAAATTGAGTTTCTCAATTCCACAAAGACTGTTATATAACTTATTAGTCATTACAAGTTATAGATAAACAAATTTATAACAATTTCTATCATAATGAAAATCTAATAATGTATTCTGGGACAAATAGCAGATGCGACATAAGGTTAATTAGTTTCTGTTTACTTGATGGTCAAATATTGTACACACATAAGATTAATAAACAATAAACAATTATTGTAAACATCTGGTTGTTTTGGCAATACTTCGAAATTCTATTAGTAGTGGTCAATACATCAAAGATAATTTGATAATCAGTAATTACAATAAAGTCTATAAAAGCCTAGGTTTACAATTTGTGTTCAATTCGAACACTTATTGTATTCTAGGTAAGTTTGAAATAATTTGAAATAAACTATTTATTCTTAAGATAATTTCTAAAAGTTAAATTTATTTATTTTTCATTAAAGAAAGTTTTTAGATCATAAGTACTGTATTCATTATAACTGTTTCATTATATTAAGAACAATTAAAAATGTATGTTTCATTTTTATTAATGTTTCAATTTACAAATACTTTGGAAAAAACAATGTATTAAATAATAACTTATATTGTAATGTTTTAACTTTATTTTTCATTAAACAATTCGAACACTTATTGTATTCTAGCTTTTCCTGTTGCTGATTCCGGCCTATCTACCAATTGATTGTGAGTTTGTTTCCCCCTCATTGTGACATACGTCAATACTTTAGCAAGGATTATAAAACACAGTAACAATTGTCACAATATATCTATAAACCACAAAGGACCAAAACCAGCAGTAACCTAATGTAGTCGTAATTGCGTGTCGATATCTTGTCAATCGTACGGTTGTTTTATCCGACTAACTAACTTGATACGGAAAATGTAATTATTTGTTAAATAACTATGGTCTGGGGGTTTCAAACTGTTTATATGAGAATTAGTTAAAAAGTCAAAGTTCAAAGTCATAAATAAGTGTTCCGTGTAAAATTGTTTTCGAAAATCTAATTTGTTCATAATTCTTTTATGTAATAAACTTATTTAAATAAATTCGGACCTTCCCTTATCTGATCACCAGCATGGCTAAAGGTATTACTCCCAAAGGTATTGTGAGGTGACACGTCCAGGTATTCAAGCGATTTCCTGTCGGGCTTAAAAACTCTTATTAGAGGTTTCTCAACATCTTACGAACGGACGAAAATCGCCTTAACTTGACGTAACTTGCCGTAACGAGAAAAGAGGGAGCACTCATTTTTGGAATGATTTTGGACTATTGGATGTGCACTTCCTTTCATTAAGAAATGCATGCAGGGTTCTTTTAAACCATTTTGAGTTGTGGACATATTATTATATTGAATGCGAGTTCTCTCTGATGTGTACTTATAGTGACTTAGTGTTCTTTTTTGATGAGATTGGAGGGGCAATGAATATTTTTGAAATTTACCTAGGCTCAGATCAAAGGTAAAAAGTCCTGCGCATAAAAGAGGTAAATTGAATCTAGGAGTGAACGACTCTAGAAAAAAAATCGGTTTTTAATTTGAAAAAAAAAATCCTTGGGTCCGAGATAACTTTGTTGCCTCAAAGCTATAAAATCCAAATGGTCAGTTCTTCACCTTACAAAATTATTATTGAACTATTTTCTACCTAAATTGGCAAATAAATGAATAAAGGGAAATACTGAAATAGATATTTGAGAAAAAAAAAGTTCATTTGAAAAGATATTCTGTAATGTAGTGTTGATTTTTGTTTTATTTTCAAGGCCTTTCTTATCCTTTTTGTCTATGTTTTTATTATCGTACACTTATTAGTATAATTTAAATTGTTTCAATGTACAATTTAATATCTATATTACAATCAGTTTTGTTGGTGCTGTAGCACTCATACTTTCCATTAGAATACACACAACTCTATTACTGACAATATAACTGACTCCTCCAAAAAACTTTTAAAATACATATAAATAAATAGCGGTTTTAACGACATATATATCAAAGATACTTTTCTTGCTGTTAGGAGTGGTTCCCAATATTTATTATTGAATATTATTACATTGGTAGCAATGAATTACATTGATTTCCCAGTCAAATAAAAACCGATAATTTCACATGTGAAATAAACGTGGTTATTTCACTCTCTGACGTCATACAACAATAGGCGTTGTCAAGACGTCGATAACGTCGGATCAAAACAAATTGTGAATGCGTAGAAAAAAGATATAGTTCCTTACATTTTCTTCATTAATTTCATTAAAAAAAACATTTGCCAATGTAATAAAAAGAATAACTAATCAAAGAATTCAAATATCGAAAAATATTCAACTCGTGACCGAAGAACACTGATAATTAACTCATGCGATACGCGCATTCGTGAATTAATGTGTTGTTCGGTCACTCGTTGAATATTTTTCTCTATTTGAATTCTTCGATTAGTTATTCTATAACTATCGAATAAATGTGGAGATAAATGAAGAAATAAAACAGTTTTAAACCACATCTTATCTCTTTATGCGTTTTTATTCAATATGTATATATATTTATCGAAGTTGTTTTACACTTATACATGTATTAACATTAATCAGAATATATGAAAAATGGGCTATGGTTAACGAGTTTTTGTGTTAGACCTTTCTTGTCACCTTTGATTTGTTTATGAAGTGATCAAATTTCATTTCTCTGTGACTTTCAAAATTCAATCTTTATTATTTGTCCACAAATATTAAGGATAGGAAAAGATTAGTCTACTTTGTTTGAACTATAAGAACTAGCTAAGGCCATATGTACTGCTGATATATTAGTGTGTGTGGCCTATAAATCAACGCAAAGCATCTCTATAATACAGTGATCTGCTGGTCTCACGCAGGTATAGAGTTGTGGTTTTTAAAGTCCAGCGCACTGGGATGTAAAGTCTAGCGCTGTAGATCTAAAGTCGAGCGCTAGAGATGTTAAAGTTATATGAAACGAGTGACTGGTGAAAAATAATGTTTATCCAATTCTTGAACCAATGCATGTATATATCATAAACGTCGTCTTCTGTACACGATTTTATCATTTTTTACGCAAACATATCGTATAATCGTCAATTTTTTTTTCTCTCTGTCTGTTATGATGTGAAAATATGGCAGCTAATTAATTGTCGTGTTTTGAAGCCGTATTTTACCGATTGTCACCTTATAGTTAACAATCAACAAAGAAGCATGGATATTGAGCACGTGAATAACATGTACAATCCGATAATAGTTCATTTTAATGACAGATCCATGCGTATTGCGATCACCGGAATTTTACGAGGAGGGTCACGCTAAGGTCACTTGCATACGGAAAATATGTCGGCGAATTGCTTCCTGGAAGCAAGCAATTGACAAAAAAGTAAACTTCTTCTAAATGTGGACAATTTAAAAAAAAATCTTCAGAAAAAAGTATATGTACACAAGTTTTATAATGAAAACTATCCATTTAGTTATAAAAAACATATGCATCATTTTTTTTTTAATTTGAGGTTTCATATGACTTTAAGTCCAGAGTTGGAGATTTAAATATAAAGGTTGTGTCCTCTCAACCACCTTTCAATCATTTGTCAAATGTTAATATCTTTCGTGAAATGCATGGAATACTCGCCACTGAACGTTTTATAAAAACAAAAAATTCCAACAATCACTCAGTCAAATGCAAACCAAATGCGCAGATTTTTTTTTAACAACGACTATCAAAAACATCGTTCTTTTTAAATGGATAAGGGAGATAAATCGAACGCATATTCGACATGTAAATAAACGAAACTCAACGTAAGGTAACGCAACATTCAACAACACAAAACCAATTGGAACACTAATGTTTAACCCCAACAATAAATTACAAGGTTGCAAAATGAATATTAAATTGTTTACTGTTGTCTTTAAACACGCTGCAATATCGGTAGAAAATTTTACTGCATAAAATTACAGCTCCTTAACGGATACGTTCGTCGAGTTTCGTCCGTTCGTAAGATGTTGAGAAACCTCTATTACACAATTACATAAAGCAAGTTCATGCATCGTCTCACTTGTGAGAGTATTGATCAGTGTATACGGCCGATAACTTGTAACTTCTCTGTCTTGCGTGCCGATAGTGATATACTAGTCATTACCAGAGACATCTCTGTCATTACTAAACTCATACGCTTGTTTATAAATAACATTTCTGGTGTAAAGAATACTATTTATGAAAATCTAAATAATTCCCAAAAAAGATTTGATAAAATAAAAATATATTTACAAATTTTTTTCCAAGGGTAAATTGGGGTAAATGTAAGTATATACTCGTTGTCAATAATGATGGACATTTTGAAACATACAAGAAATATTGATTTAACAAAAATGTACGCACTTGTCGATCATTGATTTATACGCCTTGATAGAAAGTTACGGAACTATAGATAGTCGCAATTTAAAATATATACATGTATATTGAATATAAGAAAGAAACATCCAGAACAATTTGATTTAAATACATATCTAACTTGCTTTGGTTCATCGAAGTTATGGACATAGTAAAATCACAGATTTATATTTCAATTAGATTGTTCTTGAACAATTGAAGAAATTCATCATCATCACTATTGTTGGGTATAATCATGGAAGTAATATTTGATATGACTTCCATTGTATAATGTATAATAAGGTGAACATGGTTCTGAAAGTACCTTATGTCAATTTTCCTGTTCCGACATGCATGTAGTATATGCCACTGGACGTACACTAATGATCCCAAAAAGTCTATTTGAAGAAATAAAGAAACTTC